CCTTAAACTTGTATTTAAAACTTCTTTCACTAAGGATTGAAGGAAACTCACCCAGTGTTTTTAGACTTGTCAATCCAAAGGTTCCTAATAGCTGAAAGGCAGTTAACAAGCCATATCCAAAAGTGATTAGAAAAGGAAGTATGCAAACCCAGTGTCCTTTTGAAGGTACCTGCTGGAACTGCTTTCAGGAAGATGGCTATTCCCTCATCTTCCAGAACTCTAAACCCTCTGGAGACAGCCGTCTTGCAGTCTCCTTGCAAGGAGTAATTGTATGGAACACTTGTGAATAATCTCAAGTCTCCTTGTCCGGAGAGGTATTATGAAGAGCCGGTCTACTCACCAGCTCTTCATTCCACCACAGTCAACTCCACTCCATTTCTTCCTTAGAAGTCCCGATTTCATTGTAATTTCTTCAATTGTTGTGAACTGCCCAGAGTCATTGGGAGTCAGGTGGCATACAAGTTTAATAAATTATTATTATTATTTAGGAAATAAGGAAGTCAGATTATTCCTTAATAAAACTAGCTTATTTCATACTAAAAAGCCAATCATATTGAAAGCAAGAATGCATTTGGAGCTGGAAGCATCAATCATAGGGGCGTGCACAAACCAAACCAAACCAAACCAAACCAAACGAAACCAAACCAAACGATTTGTTCTGGATTTGAAACAAAATACTCCCTCTTAAAATGCTCCATCAGAATGTTATTGCTACACTTCAATACAATAAAACTTGAAATGTTTCAAGTATTCTGGCCACAGAAAAGAATCAGAACTCAGGACTAAGTGTTGCTCCCACGACTGGTTCCCCAAGGACGGGTTAGGTGACATGATTGTTGGTCCACCCACCAAAATAATAGAAAATTTGGCCAAGGGGATTATTTTTGAAAATATTAAAATAAACCCTATGGGAAACAGTTCTGCTCTCAATCACCGGAAAAAAAGATTCTAATCTAAACAGTTATCAGCAAGTGATAGCCTTTTTGCAGCACAGAATCAATCTTTTCCATTTCATTAAATAAATCTTCCAGATTGTTCAACCAGTAGATTACAGAACAAAGACCACAGCTAATCTTTTAAAATTTATTTTTGGTTAGCATATCCCTGATCCCAAGAGACTAAAATAATAAAATCAAATTGCACTTATTTTGATTCTTATGTTTATTATTTTTAATTTTAAGCATGAACATAAACATTTTAATTTTAAACATGTTTAATTTAAAACATGAAGAATTTCCTTAGTCAATTTTTCTATAGGCACTGATACTTGATTTTGCTAAGTAACTGGGGTAACAGATTTTGAATGTCTTTTTATAGCTTGCCTGCCAGGTTTAAAAGTAATTGTGTGGTTCTCTTCTATGTCTTTTTGCTTGCTGGCTGCAAAAAGAAAAGAAAACAAGGCAGGGGGAGAGTTGCTGGTGCTTTTTAACATCACATCAACAGTGCTTAAGAGTAACACCGAATATCAGACTTGTCAAAGCTTAACCAAACAGCCAAGCCAATATAACTTTTTCCATTTTGAATGCATTCTGAAGTTTAATATCAACAAGATTTAACACCACGCACTGACACACAAAGTTTAACAAACTAACCAAACCAGCATTATACTAGTAGCCTTTACATAACCCTAGGAACATTAGCAAGTTTTGTATGAAGCACAACAATTCACACCTTTGCATTACTTGCCTTCAAAATAATGCACGGGAAGAAACCCAGTCTACCCATCCCATTCAATTAATCTCAACAGCAGCAGGAAGATGACTGACCCATGCTGCTGTGCTGGCTAGGCTGGAAAATTGTTGGGGGAACAAAAAAGGCAGCAAAACTAACAACGGCCGAATTGCAATGCCTTCAGTCAGAATACTCAAAATAGAGCCACTTTAAAAAGCCAAGTTTTGTTTCATGCTCAGAACACTTAAAACAGCCATTTCTAGGTTGGAATGCTTTGCATACCCCTAATATTACTGCAAAGAGAAAAATATGTGCATTGATGGTATGATTTGCTTTTTGCTACAAGATATAGCAACATTTATTACCCTTAAAAGTTAATTGCAGAAAATTTATTTTCAAATTGTACATCTGTAGCATGTGTTAGATTTAGTTATTGTACATTCTTTAAAAATAATGCATCCAGTTCAAATTAGGACTTGTGGTCTGTTAAAAACAAAACAAAACAAAACAACCCCCCACATCTTATATCATAAGAATAAATTCAAAAACTGGATTTTTTTGTACTGAGATAGCATTTCCATATCCAAAATTCTTGAGGCTTAATAAAAAGCCAAGGAAAAGCCAAGATTGTTTGAGTAAAAATGAAGGTGGGTACTTTGCAGGAGAATTCACCAAGACAGCCTAACCATTACTAAGCACATTCACTACCACAGAATACCTGTGTCTTCTTTTGGGGGGGGGGGGAGAATAAGCTCTGAAAAGAGAGCATGGTTACCTGGAATCCTAAACGATCAGGAATCATCTACAATAATTTTTCCTGCAGATTCCACTTTGTCAGAATTATTTGGAAACCTGTGTAACTTTAAAACAGCTAAAATGCAGTGCTGATCATTATAGGAAGCAATCAGATTTATTGGGAAAAACCAGTGGGGAAAAATTGAAAACAGATAGCTTCGTCACAGCTTTATTAAGACCCCTCATCTATGAATTTTGGATTACTTCCACAGAACTTTTTTTTTTAAGTAACACAATGCACGATACAGTGATTTTTTTAAAAAAACAGTACATTTGAGAAATATAGCTGTTCACCACTGCAACCATATGCATGAGCAAAGCATTTTGAAAATACAGACTACATAGTGACACACAGTATCTTACTAGCTTCATAATTTCATAATTAACTCATAATTTCCTTTTTTCAGAGCCTTTTTAGCCATTCCTAATAATGCGTAGCAAATAATCCATCCCCAAAGCAAAAAGTGAGATACTACTGAAAATGTCCCAGTTAAGAATCACTAGCATCTATGTTTTTCCATTATATATATTTTGCTATAATTCTGAACTGAAGTGAGGCAGGCAAAGAATTAGATATACAGATTAGTTCATAAAAAGGATTGTATGAGCAAAGAAAGTGAAAAACACACCTTATTTTTCCAATTAATGGAAAGTATGGTCTCTTTTGCAAAGTTACCAGCCTATTCCTTGGAATCCAGAATCATAATTAAAATGTTATTTTTATTTTTGGTAGAAGTTCGAAATTGGTAAAATTCTCTACTCCCCCCCCAAATCATTGAGATTAACAATACTTAAAACTGGGTGGCTTATGCCCTACATATTATACAATATAAATATTTCCAACATTGCAAATACACGTTGTTTATAATTTTTTTTCTGTACCCCGGAAGTTGAGATCTAGATATATAATTACAAACTGATTCGTCAAACTTAAACCAAATGGACGCGGACTCCTTATTTTACCTAGGGCTAATCCTCCTGAACAGAGAGGGTTTATTATAAAGGGAGGGGGCGCCGGATCCAGTACTGCGGATCTTGCAATCTTCAACTATAAGGTTATATAAGGTTCACCAGCGCGGCCCCCCGGTTTCCTATTCCTCAAAACCTAAAGAGGGGCTTTTATATAGTGCAGTGTTACAACCGCTTCTCTCTCTGTCTTTTTCCAGTACGGCCCTACACCATCTCGACAACCATCAGGAAGAAGCAGAAAAAAGGTCTGCACCTGTGAATTCAGCACGGCGGCTGCGGGCTGGTTCAGAAGCGACGGCTGAATTTAGGATCTGGGCGGCGCTTACGTGCCTCTTGAACCGGTTTACACCATTTGCATCATCAGCGCAGCCTCTCATTGCCTCGGCAACTACAGGAGCGAGCAGAGCAGTACAGAACAGAACATTTCCCTCCCCCGGGGAGCTCGGCGTTCTTTTCCCCCCTCCCCCCCCCCGCACTTAGGCAGGCTCGAGCTGTTCTCCTTCCGACCGGCTCCACCACGTGGCTGCCCATCTTAACTGGGCCGCGCACTCGTGACAGCTTGCCAAACGAAAACAACACAAAATGACCCCGTCGCTCTGCGGGCAGCAACGCTGCTCCGACGCATTCCAAGCCCGGGATCAGGAAGCGACCCACTAAACGTGGGCAGAAACGTTAGCCTTTGCTCGCCATGGGCAAGGAGCCAAAACGTACTCCTTGCAGGTTTTTCTTCTCTCTCCGACAAGCAAAACAAAGACGCCCAGATGTTTCAGATCTTTATGGGGAGATTCAAAAGTGAGCAGACCCCGCGCTAGTCATTCGATTGGTGATCTTACCTCCCTAGCGGCGTTCATTTATATGCCGTCTTTAACTATCTATCTCCTCTCTTCCTCTGACGCACTTCAGTGTCTCGGACTGCCATTCCTATACAGTTCTTCCGCTGTATTGAGTTTCAAATTACAGATATTGTTTTCCAGCGTGATAGTCAAACTCCTCCTTTGTAATTCTCTGGCTCTAGCGTATTGCATAAACAGCGCCGGGGGTCACTCCTTCAAATGAGGCACAGAAATATTTTTGTTTACTTCCCTCTGCCATGTCTTTTAACTGGTTCCTTTCTCAACCCCAGAACGCCAACTGCGTCAGATGGTGGAAATCGAGAACACCTTTCTGTATACCGCCTACTAGCTGCGTTCGTTCCCCCACCCGTTTTTTTTAAGCACGTCCAGGCGTGGAGGCGAAGCAGGACATCTCCCCAGCAAAAGTACAGCCCGACCCTTAAAAAGCACAAGAACTTCCTGCCTCCCACCGTTCTCCTCGTTTATTTCGAGAACGAACAAGTGAGTCTTGAAGAGGCCACTCAGCTTTGCTATTGGCCCTGCCTGATATACCTCCGCGTTTTTATTGGCTGAGGGGGAAAGGAGGAAAAAAGAACACGCTACCATTTGTTTGCATGCCTATAAGTTCGATGCTTTGTACTCACGCAGGTCCTGGACTGATTGCAGGCATAAGAAAGAAGTATCGCTTTTCCCCAGGTTGACACACGCTCTTGAGCTTCTCACCCAGTTCATCACAGAGGACTTGAGTAATTCAACCTGTTCACCGTTGATTTGTTTTGCAGTTTTCCAGATATTTTTTATCTGTAACTCATAACAATTAAATTTCAATGTAAACTTACTAAGACATTTTTATGCACATTTAAGACTTGAAGTTAGCAACTGAGTGTTAAATGATGTAGGCTTGGGTATATACATATGCATACACACAAAACTGGCATATTACAGAGAAGTTTGGGATTAGGCTAAAATCCTTTTCTCTGACATCTAGTTTTTGATGAAGAAACATTCTCAATATTATTTAATGGAGCGGCATACTGTACCTGCAATCCAAAGCAGTACAACCCTGACATAGATGTAATGCTTCAGCAAGAAATACTCAAATATAGATGGGATTTCAGCCTAACTACAGCTGGAAAGTACTGTGCCAATGTCTAGAGGGTTTGGACATTTTGAAAGATTTGCAAGGGAAAATTAGTTGCAATTTAGGGATGTTTTAAAGTACAGTATAAGTAATAGGATTTCTTACCTAGGGCTAAAAATGAAACAAATTTGCCTGGGAACACTTCCTGGCTGTACTTTCAAACTCAAGTGATAAAACTTGAAATTTGCCTCAAGCCTTAATTCTTGGTGAGGGAATGGAATCATTCCAGTGCTTTGTATCTGTGAGACTTCCCTCACAGCTGCCTGGGCTGGAAATAGTTACAGGCAGTCCTCACTTAGCAGCCACGATGGGGGCTGCCAACTTTGTCGCTAAGTGGAAAATCATGTCATCGCAACAGGCTTACGACCTCACTTTGGTCATTAAGCGAAATGTCATTTTCCGTCTTCTCTATTAGAAAATAGTGTTCAATACAGATATCAAATTGTCCATGTGTGCTGATTTCTGAAAAGCTGATCAGGACTGGCAGAGAATGCATGTAACAAAGCATCTATTAAATATACTTCATGGCTATACTTCTTTACTTCATATAGAACCTTCTACCTCATCTTGCAATTTTGAATTGGGGCTTGCTCTGGAATTATATAATGTCATATTTTATTGATTACTGTTTTATTCCAGTAATCAATAATTTGTAATGAATATTCATTACATATTCTGTAAATTGTGAGAAGACTAACTATAGCAGTCTGTAAATGCAATAACTAAATATAATAAATACAAGCATCTAGTAGGTGCACAGTAGGGGAATGCCTTAAATGGTCTTTGGTTCCCTCAGGCCTCTTATCCTGTGGGATTTACTGTTTCATTGTAGTGTGGAAACATTATATAATCAGAATTTAATGGGATTATCTCCCCAGTGGAAGGCTTTGCTATGCCTTTCTCACATTTTTAAAAATATTATTGCATTCATATCCTTCTTTTTCTTAAGTGCTCAAAGACAAATACATGGTGGTTTCCCATTATTTTATCCTCAAAGGAACAACTCTTCATGTAGGATGAGCTGAAAGAGAGAGAGAGTGATTGGCCCAAGTCATCATAATAAAACAGCACCACAAGTTATGGAATATTTTTAGACTTTCTGTTCCCAACTAAAAATGGATCTGTCAATATTATGCAAAGTTCTCTGCATCACTGTGGAAGGAAATACTCAAGGCTGCCTATGTGAGTTTTTCTTCCTTATGGTTTTGTGTTCCCTGGGACTTTAAGACCGCAAAGGATCACACCTGTACTGCAGGGAGATAGAAATGCTGAAGGCCTGCATAGGGTGTGGGTGTCAGTGGAAGGGAGAAAGGAGACTGAGTTGGAGAACTAAAGAAGCAACCAGCTGTGCATGGAGGAGGTGAAACTAAAAGTGAGAAACCAGATTCTGAAACTACCACAGCTGAGTAAGGAGTAGCAGAGCCTTACAGTCTCACAAGCCTTCCAAACACGAAGACCAGTTACAGCCAGTCAACAAGTAATTGTTTTCTCCCTCCTATAAACTGGTAAGGACTGAGTGACAGAGAAGCAACTCAGTAAAAGGGAACAATTACCAGGCTACTTCAACCTCCAGCAGGACCTACTGAAACATAAGAGCTGGAGAGTGGATGATAATATAGTGCTAAGTGTAAGGTAAAGGGACATAAGCCCTGGATAAAGGGAACAGATTTCCCAGCCCTCAAAGGTGAGGGGTATAAAAAGAACTCTGGTAATACGGCTAGGAAAGGTGGCCAGTTAAGAACACAGGGTAAAAAGGAAACTTGTAACTTTGTTATGTATTGTCATTTATAGCCCAAACACTGTCACTTATAAATATATTATTAGGCCCAAATAAGTTATATATATTAGGTTTAACACATTAGAAGTGTATATTTTGTATAATAAACCTACCTTGTGTACATACCAAAGGAAAAGCATTTAGCCTCATTGGTAGCTTGTACCGTAACTTGACTGTAACCCTGTCACAATCACATAGTCTAAATCTAAGCTGTGCTACCAGTTATTAATAATGGAAGCACTACTGCATGACACAAATCTGTCTCCTAAATTTGTATGTTGGCCTTCAGATTACACTTTCATTAAGACATAATTTTTGCCCTACTTGGGGAACACTAACTTATTCTAGCCTGTGCTTTCCCAAATGTGGTGAGACTACAGAAACTCGCTAGCAATTCTATAAGTTGTCCCTTACATTTGAAGAGTACTGAATTAGGGAAGTATTGAATTGGGGAAGGGTGCTCTTACCTAACCTAGATATTGTTAAAGCTGAAAAAAATACTATTTAAACTTTACAAATCATTATATTAACAGGAAAAAAAAAGTAAACTGACAACATCCTTTTAACATGAAGAAACATTAATAAACGATTTTATGACCCAATCATAAATTATATTGCACAATGAGGGGAAAGTGCTTTGAATAATTTTTCCTGTAACAGGCTATTAAAATGTACAACTAATTAATTACTAATGAGACAACTTATTATCTTTCCACAAGATAGCATGTTGCCAAAGAAAAACCGACTCTTGGCCAAGTTGTGGATCAAAAAGGATAAAATATGTACACAGACAACAAAGGAAAGGGGAATGTTTGAAAAATTGAAAGAGAAAGGTAAGGAAAGATAATGACAATATAGTGAAGTATATACTGCACTTCACAAGTCTTGCAAGCAAACAACCCAGCATTAACTACATGTAGTGAAGGGGTATTTGAGAAAAGGAAATCAATCTTAAAAAAAACTAACAAACAAACAGGTGAATGCAGGAATCTCTGATGTAAAGTGCTGTTATTATCTCAAGAATTTTCTCCTCGGATGAGAGATATTTCAATCTCTCTCATGTTAAGTTTTTTCTCTTTTTTTGTCTTTCTATAAAACCTTTCAGGTAGTGCAGAAGAAAAAAAATCTTGTTTATTCAAGCTTCAGGCTCACGCTGTATCATTAGCACACTTGGATTCAGTTCAACAACAAACAGAAGCTGTAATAATAAATATGATAAAGTATTTCAAGTTTTCCAAAGCATTTCCCCTCAAGAAGCAGAGAGAGATAGAACAGTCCATACATGTAATGTTTATGTGTACAGGATCAATACATGTTTTGCAGAACTTTAGCCTTGAGGCTTGGTATGTAACAGCAGGAAATAGGATGCTCAGATTGCAAAAAAGTAGTATCTTAACAGCTGACTCTGTTAGGCAGAAAATAAGCAACAACACCAGAGTCAGAGATTAATATAAACAATATAGAACAATGAAAACATAGCTGCAGATGTAACTATTTCTGGATGAACTCAGGACACAGATACACAACTTGCACATACACAACCTCATAAGACTTTGGTACAGCCTTGAGAATCCCTTCAAAATGACCAGCTAATTTTTAATTGATAGAAAGGGGAAATTACTACCTATCCCACTAATAATCATATGTATTCTATTTAATTTAAAATGGTAAAAATGCCCCTGTTCCTGCTTTCTTCCAGATTGTAGGTGGTCTGCCATCCATGTTAAGTTTCCAAGATTAGCTAATTGATTGTATGTCAATTAAAATTAAATCTAATTTAGTTTTGACCTTGGTCCTTCCAGCATATCACTCAAAGACCACATATGGACCTTGGCTGAAAAAATATTGTTCACCTTGAATTTAAGGATTGAGAGAGGGACTAATATACCTGGGGAATAGAGCAGTGCATCAGGGTTCCAGTTAAGAAGAACCTCAGAGTTTGGAGAGAGACATACAGGCTTCCATTGGTATGATGATAAAGACCAGGGGCTTTCCCTTTCCAGAGAGGAGGAGCTTTATAGATTTCTGAGAACATGCCTTGAACAGTTTATTATGCTAGGTACTAGAAGGAGAAAGCCTTCAGTCTATTATAGAGATGTAATGCTTTGTCCATAGGAATGAGAATCCAGCCAGATTATTTATCTTCAAAGAAGACAGCCTAAATACACCTGGTTTTATTGTCCTGGAGGTCCAAGTTTTAACTTGACATTTACTTGCCATAAATGGACATTTTTCCAATTCTGGCATTAGAAGTATGGCAACTCAGAAGTAAGGCTAAACTGCTCCTAAACCTTTCTTTCCAATACTGTACACATACTATTTTGAGATGTCTTGACTTCATTGGTAACATTAGAGAAATTTGTTTGGGAAGCAAACGTGTAATAAATGTAGGAGGAGAGTCATGTTAGTTTATAGTATCCAAAAATCAGAATGAGTCTGATAGCACCTTTTCAGACTAACAAATTTTATTAAAAGGCGTAAGCTTTTGTGTACTGCAGTGTAGGTGATGTGGACTGGTTCTTTGTAATTCTTGGTTGGATAAGGAGAGTATTTAAGATCACACACAAGTGTTCCAGACAATTCCTGCTTTTAGAGCAATCTCTGGTGGGTTTATTGATCTGGGAGATGGGGGAATAGCCATCTTCCTCAAACTATGGTCGGCACCACTGGGTTCACATACTACCTTTTCTAATCACTTTCAGAAATTGCTTGTTAACTGCTTTTTAGCTATTAGGAACCTTTGGATCGACAAGTCTGAAAACATCGGGTGAGTTTCCTTTAATCCTTAGCGAAAGAAGTTTTAAATACAAGTTT